AGTGTTAATGATGTCGACTGGTGCAAACACCACGGACCTCAAAATTCTGAAATGGCATCGTTGATTTGAATCGCACTGCCGAATTGGTGGTCAGAAGCAGCCAGATGACAGCTGGTACCCAATTGTATTAATAGGCAGTCTGCGTGACTCTTCCAATGCCTGCAGAGAAACATTCAGCTTTGGCTGCAAGGGCACATGAACAGATGCCAAACTACCACCGAAGCGAGCGCACGCACACACAGACACAAAGGTTCCAATCGCCAAAATGTAAAAAAAAAGTAGACATGCAGTGTCAGGCCATTTCAAATTGGAAATAGCAACGACAGTAAATTATAAAAGGTATTCTATTGCCGTGATGATGATTTCATACACACAGAAACACCAAGATCATTCCTAAAATGCAATATGTGTTAATACCCACAGACAGTTTCACACGGACCAACTTGATTTCTGTTGGCCAGTTACAGAAAAGCCTTATTCCTATGGCTGAAGCCAGTCACTCAATCAGGGCAACTCGTGTTTCCATTGCTAAGAGTGTAATACGAAGCTCTTCAGTATTTCACAGACATCGTTTTTAAACACTGACTATTTAAGGACATGCAGTGTATGATTTCGAAATACCAGAACATCTGAGTACGTAGCTATGCCAATTCAAAGACTATTTTAACGCAGATGCCAGCATTAAAAAAAGGTTTTTTGTAAAAAATCTGGGTTTTTTGTGTCCAATTATTTCCAATCAGTGATGGGAGTACCTTGGCGTTCCCAGCCATCCATGACTGAAAATGCTCTTACCGCACTGTTTCGTGTCTGCCGATGGGGCTTGGCTATAGGGCGGGAGAATAGATGAGCGGATTGAGTGTTTGCTTTGCAAACATGAGATTGCAAGTTCTAATTCTGCCACAAGCATGCTTGCAAGGGCAAGATACATGTGTGCCCACAGTCCACAGAGTCCTCTTGGTAAAATTGGTTGAAGAGAATATTTATAAAATAATGAGTTCAATATATAGGATGTGATGTACACACGAGACACGTGTTCACACGTGTGTACACATCTGTACACGTGCATAGATGTATGTATGCAAATATTTTGAACACAGTGATATTTGTGACGCCTGTTATCTATGACATCCAGAGAAATTGTAATTCTTACTGATATTAACAGCTGAGTAACTGCTGCTTTCTGATAATTTTCAGACAATAAGGCGATGAACCAGCATGATGTGGAGATAACCCGATAAAAGGTGAAGCTTCATATTAAACATTTTCGGAGACGCCTGAAACCGTGCGAGATTCTGTCCTGTTGTTTGCAATACTGTAATTCTTTTGGGTTGTTGTTGTGGATGCTTAAATGTAATTCCTGTTATCCACAAATGTACTTGTGGCCACTTATATCCCAAGTACATTTGATAGCTTAAAGGTGGTTTATTGTGTGCAAATGTATACATATGTTGAAAAGTGGAACTAATTAATAATATTCTTGGAACGCTGGTAGTGCATATAACATCTTACGAAAATAAATATGCATATTTTTTTTTCAAATCTATATGCTGAGGATACACACATAAATAGTGGAGCGTTTACCTTGGTAAATATTTGGCTACAGCGATGTATAGCATGTGAATTGTCACGTCTGTGCCAGATCTGATGGAAACCACATTCAAACAGTATTCAGGGTAGTCAGAACTGTGGACGTGAGTGAACACGCGCGCGCGCTGTTAGCGACTATCTATTAAGGTCTTAATGGAATGCAAGTGGTTGGGTGTTCAGTAGCACACCTGACTGCCTTTGTCTCCCCAGTTCACACGCACACACATCGCATTGGGTGATCATTTAGGACCGAGTCAACCGAGGCAGGTCAAGTTTCTGGGATCATAAGCACTGCATGTGAAGTATTACACCACCGCAACTCACACATGCACAAAAAGACCCCCCCCCCCCCCCACCGTATAGTCTCAACAGACTTTTGGGGCAAGTGCTGTTAGCGAGCACCTATGAAGGCCGGCACTAAAAATGAGGGGGTGGGTGGCCAGCACCACGCCCGGCCGCCTTAGCCTTGCCCGTGCAAATGTTTTTACACACCGCACCAGCTACTCATTTGAGGCTGAGTCGACCTAGAGGAGGCTCACATGACCGGTTCAAATAATCGTTACCGGTGTTGGCCGTGAGCGGGAATTGAACCCGGTTCGCCGATTTCACAGCGCAGCACGCAGTTACTCTATCGCTCCCCACGAACATGCACATGCACACATGCGCTCACACAGGAAGTGAGTGTTGCTCTAAGATGTATCCTAGGGTTATAAATGCAGCTGTTTGCTCAGGCAGCCTAAAGTGATCATGTTTGCTTACTGCTTCCCTGAAAGGAAAAGGTTTTTTTATTATTCATTTATTCCCAGCCTGGGGCAGAGGCATATGCAGGCACATCCCATATGAGTGCAGATCTCTTGCGATGTATACCAAATAAGGATTGTGAATATGGGATGACGGATTAGGAATAAGCGGTTGTTAAACTTGATTTCCAATTGTAAGCAAAGGCCACGAGATTGCATATTGCGAACAGCATCTGCACACGGGCCAGCATTTCTCAACACGACGAAGGTTCACAGAGAGCATCCAAATACAAAAAAAAAACAATTATACGAACTAGAATTAATTTCCAAAGTAAAATTGTAATTAAATTTCACCGTAATTAAGCGTGGCTCATGTGACTACATTGTATTCATACACTAAGTTGATATAGCAATTCTGGAACTTGTTTATCCAATGTTCTAATGTAATATGTAAAGAGCAATTTGTGTTGCAGACACAATGTTTATATTTCACCAAAAATGCCCTCGTATAAAGGGAGGTCCGGCATTGTATGTGAATCTTCTCTTTCTATTACACGGTCTCATTGGGCTCTACCATGACAAAAAATAATACATTCTATATGTTAATAAACACATATGCATTCATACCCGCGTAATACAAACGTAGCTACGCACATACGCGTATACAGCCATACATGAATGCATCTACACATTCATCTATAGTTACATGCGTTCATCTTCTGATAAGCTATTTTAGAGGTATACTCCGGTGGTATTTCTAATTCTGGAGTAGTATGCTAGTTGGTGTTTTTGGTATTATATTCGTGTTTACATTGTAAGCATATGAATAGACTGCACTAAACGAAGACTTTTCTTTCATATGTAGCCATCTGACCCTGCCTAATCGCATTATTCATGCGAGCAGCAGTTGTGGAAGCGCAGGCAGGGTCATATGGCTATCTATTAATTTTCTGGACAATGTGCATTTCCCTAATGGTGAAAATGCATTGTCTGTGCTGAATGTTCATGTATACATTATGAGCCGTGAATCATTCTGTCAAATAGTATGCGGATCAAAACTCAGCATAACCTGACATAAGTGTATGACAAATCCAGTTGCATACATTAATCACCGATGAGCATTCGTTAATAGTTTCTGACAATTTTCCTTTTGAACTCAATTTCCTAAAACGTTATTGCATATTTCATAATGCACAAATGCAAAATATGAAAATAATTTAAATTGTGTCGGTCAACATTCTACAGCAGAATAGATATTTGCAGATGCGCACCCATGCTTGTACGACACACCATCATAGCTATAATCTGAGTGTGAGCGAATATACGCTGATTGTTAAAGGCATCACTGGAGTTGCTGCTTTCTTTGTTTATAATGCAAACCCATTGACCTACCATTTGCACTCCAGGCATGCATGTTGAGAGGCATGCAGGGCTGGCCATGCATGTACTGTATACACATTCATTACATCGATTCGGGGACAGGAGAGATGAAACGTGTGCGCATCTTAATTCACGCTTCTACGCATCTCTTCTTCATCTTTTGTCCACGTGAGAGGTCAGATTCTAACACGGAAATCCCACGGAAATGCTATCTATCGCAGCTATTCGGTGGATGTGTGGGTGTTTGTGAATGCATATTGAGGAGACTGACTGCCAGATATCTCGGGCTGCATGTTGAAATGAATGAAAGTCGGGAGAAAAAGATATTTGGTGCGGAATTGCAATTATATCATATCTGAACGCCCTGTGTGATGTGTTATCTACATGCGCGTGCGTGCGTATGAGTATGAGCACACACGCACACGTGTATTTATACACACACGCAGACGTGTATTTATACACACACGCACACATCGCTCTGTACGATATCGCCTCTATACTATAGAGCACATGTTTTTCAAACGGGGACAACAGATGTCGCATTATTCCTTGACAGATTCGACTCGAGTCACATGAATGTTGTCCCTAATGAATGCGCACATCCACCGCTTGGGTTTTTGATGCGTACGTCCCTGTGGTGCGAATCACAGATTTGCCCTTTAATCGCGGGGTCTCCAGCACACGTGCCTATTTTAACAGCCCTCCCCCCGTCCCTGCCTTTATAGGACTCGATTAATTTTAACCAACATGTTTGTTTTTGGACAAGATTCAACTGCCCGCTGGTGTGATTTCTGCATAAGCGCAATTCCATGAGTCAAAGTGCGTGTTGGTCCTGGGATGTAAACAAACGATGTGTGGGGAAAGTCTAAACATAGCCGGCCAGGAACTCTTTCGTTTAACGTTTTATTTTTAGAGGAGAACAAAAAATCACCATGCCTCCTTGTTTCTTGCTGCCTCTGACAATTTCTTCAGCAACCGAATGCTATCATTGAACGCTGGCTCCTCAATTGACACATTTGACGGATCAATTAAAACACAATCACTAGTGATGATGCACAGCGGTTTGACACCAGTGATGCTCGCAACGTACTATTTACAGCCCCCCCCACCCCACCAACGTTACGGCGTGCTATCAGATGCGCACACTTTTAGCGGACGACAGATGGGGAATAAAAACATAGCAAAAATAACCGTCTTTATTTTCTAAATAAGAGCTACACGAGCTGGGAAGAGTTGCTGAGATTAAAGTGCTATCCTAATTGTGTCGATTAAGAAATATACGTTGCAGCTCACCGGTCTCAATGAGGAGGGCAGCAGTGATGAGCAGCACGAAAAGCTGGCAGTGTAGGATCCCTTCCGACATGGTTGCACGGGAAAACCAACGAGCAGAACTGCAAATTGCTAGAGAAGGAGAGGAGCGTTATCCCGATGTAGACCTTTGGAGGTGGTGGTCCTTTTATGAGCGAATCGCACATCTGTCCCTTTGCATCCTTTCTCCATCCCAAGGAGCAAACCATTATCGCCCGGGAGGCAGGGGGAGACGCTACTTCACGATTGGAGGAAGGGTTGGCTCATCGCACCCCGTTCGGCGGGGGGTTTTGGGGGATGGCTTTTTGGAGCAATGCTCGATGGGGGCATTTGCGAAGGCACGCGCAATGCTTTCTCGTGGCGGCTGTGCATACAGATGCGTACAAAGAAGACGCAGTGACATTAACAGTGGTGTGGCAACATCTCACTCCAAAAATAAATAATGCGCGTACATAAACAAGACACGCGAATAATACGCACAAAATAAAGGTTTCCTATTAAGCCATAATAATACACAGAGGGTTTTTTTTTTCCTATAGTTCGACTGTTGGGACAAGTGCTGGTCGCGATCACCCACGAAGGCTGGCATGGCACATATGCATCTGAGAGCGTGGGATAGCCAGAAGCTTCGACGCTTTTGGCCGTCTTTCTCTCCCCATTGCTCATGTCCACACACTGCACCAGTCGAACTAAGGGTGACTCTGAGCAGGATTACAAACCACGTGCCACTGATGTGCGTGGCGGGGAATCCCTACCCATGTTGTCAGGATTGTCGCGTACCGTGCTAACCACTCCAGCATTACTGCCAATAGGTACACACGCGCCGCGTACACACACAACACATATACAAAGATCACCCTTATAGACCAAACAGAGTGCTGGGGCAAGTGCTGTTAGCGTGTAGCGCATATGAAGGCCGGAACGGCAGACGAGGGGGGCTGGGTGGCATATGCACACACGCAGGCACAACGAAGCAAAGGAGGCTGCTACATTTTGACAGCTTTCGAAATAATTGCACACTGCGGAGCGTGAGGTGGCGCTCCGTTGTAATCGGGCTCTAGGTTGTGAAGACGGTGGATCAGTTGAGGATACGTGCAGGCACTGGATCCGTACGCAGCAACACGCTGATATTGTGGTATCGCTCATCGTATCGCGGGCAGCATATGGTGAATTGATTGGCCTGGGTGTGATTAAAATAATAATAATCGTGCAGGGAAGCGAGAACACCCCGATCCGAGGAAGAATCCATTAATATAGGAAGTAATACATTAAAACAAATATAGATCCTACGTGCAGCCTTTGCAGACTGATGGGACAAGTGCTGTTATAGAGCACCTATTAAGGCCAGAATGTTACACGGAAGGCTGGCGTGGCTGGAACCACGGCAGACTGCATTTGTCTCTCCGATGAAGTTGTCTGCGCAGACGAATGGGAGACCTCGGGCCGATTCTGTTATCACTTTGTCACTAATGTTGGTGATGGGCAGGAATCAAACTCAGGTCGCCAGGTTTGTATAGCAGTGCTGTAGCCACGCATGCATGCACACACGCACGGACTAATTTCCACACACACGAATGCATTGAATATATTCCTCGACATGATGAAAATGGCTATTTTATTCACAGCATTAATCATTAATGTTGGCTTATAACGCAAACTAAATAAATAATTTGGCAATGTAAATGTATCGTGGGAAATATTTGTTCAATAATTTATTTGTTCGTGTATTGTTTTAACGTGTAAAAAAATAATGTTGCACAAAGAAAAGTGCGTGCACTCACACGTGCGTGCATAAACACCTGTGCGCACATCCGTATAATCTGGTATAAGTGTATTGTACGTACACAAAGCATCATTGTACATGCTTAAGCAAAACCTGTTTTGCATCACTGTGGTTAAGTGTTGTTTTTGAGTGCAGAGTAAGGGCAGCATCTTCTACTTAGAAAGGGCGTTAAGGGGGAGCCAGCACAACACCTGCATGTCCACACACTGCACCAGTTAAAACCCGGATTCCGTATTTCAGTCCCCAGCACTGACGTTGACACGTCAACCTCGAGATACCCATTTTGGGACGAGTTGACGTAGGGGATGGCCTGTGTAGATTCGGTGCAGGATTAAAGATATTGCAGGGTTCAAAAGTTGAACGCTGCTTTGTCGAGGTTATAGTGTGTTAGAATAACTACGATGACTCAAACTGTCTACGAGAGCGCTGTACAGATAATTAAATGCACATTATTATTACATTTGATTCAAACTATTACCAATCGATGCATCTAATGCACTTACGCCACGACAGCAAAGAGTAGAGACACTTTAATAACAATTCCGTTTACGATTCAAGTGCAGTCTTTTACCATTATCTGGCCATTAAGAGAAAGACAACAAAACTGCATTAATAAATAAACGTGAAACTACGGTAGATTTATATACGATTTAAAATCCTCGAAAGGGAAATTATGGCAACCGTTGACCACGTGTCTATTTTGAGGATGTATACGCCTTAAATATGTCGCATTACCAAAATAAAGAAGTATATATCACTATGCATGGAGCAGTAAAACCATTTTACTCAATTTAAACTAGCCATGTGTATAGAGACCACCTGCCAACAGAGACCATGTGATGTGTGAGCCTTGTATTGTCACATCCAAGACTCGCCCAATTTTTCGTGTTTAATTTAGACTCTATGTGGAACGTGTGATAATGAATGACACTACGTTTAGAAACAATTACACCCGCATGTGATGAAGAGGTGGCACATTTCAGTTCCAAACCATGGCTCAAATCAGTGGTGTTGGATAATCTGAATTGATCCTGCAGTGTAGTGTTTTACAAAAGCAAGCAGAATCAGAATGTTTTAATTTTCATACTGGAGAAATCCGATGAGCTATAAATCTCTTTTTCGCAGATGTCCAGTAGATCATGATTCTGAAGGCATGCACGTGTGGCCAACACCGCGAATGCCTCATTCGTGGTAACCTTTAACACACCGCACTACGTATTCCTTTACGTTTGAATTGACCTAATGCAAGCCAAGAACTGGATTATAAACCGTGGAAGGAAACAGAACTCATTGCACAAAGCACTGCCAGTGCTCATACATAAACATGTGCGCACACGAAATGCACACATACCCACAAACAGACTACGTGACAATCAAAATTGTCTCATATTTGAGCTTAGAGTATTGCTCATGTCTACTAATCGCTCTGCATAAGCGGTGGAAATTCCAAATTGCTATGGTGAGGATCACCCTGTGCACGGTCCAAACACTTGCCAGCTGGCTGGAACATGCAGGTTTTTATTTTATTTTCTGCATGAGAGTACAAAATTCCAGATGTATTATTTCAACGTCGTCCTTTTGTGCGGTCGTTATATCAGAAACAATTTAAACGTATGTACACATCATGCGTCTGTGGTTAGAGCATACACACACATTTGCACATACAGCATGCGTGCGTGTGTGTGACCAGGGGTCAACACATCCTTTGTGGAGCGACTCATGGGTGGTGCAACCGTAAGAATGTGACATTTTCACTGCTGGTTTGCGGCCACAAAGCAGAAATATACTTTGCCTTGATTTGACATGAATTAAACACTATTTCCAGTGCATGCACAGTGAATACGAATACTGCCATATATTGTATTCAAGTTGCATTGTATAGTTTTGCTATTATAACATGTGCCGATGACTAAATGTGTCAGAATGCCGTCAATCCCATCAGATCTATTAAAGCTAAGCAGGCTTGAGTGTGGATATGCCTTTGATGATTAATCACAATGCATAATAGCTGTTATAGGCTGCTGTGGTCGCTCCAGCGTGGGCAGAGGGCAGTGCAGCGATTTCCATTGCTACCATAACTGTGCTGCCCACCCTTCATCAATCCAACATGACCAGCGTGGTAAAGTATAGTCAGATTACCTCCATGTGGGGAGGCCAAAACGGCTGCACTTGCACGTGCATACATGCGGACATTTGCCTATCTCAGAGGGATATGTACATTGATTCACAAATCACAATTGTAAACCTCGTTGTAGCTAATTGCCGTGGGTTGCAGTTTAATTATTTTGCATTTAAATGCAAAATGTCATCCAAATCATGATTTCCATTGTATTTAAATGAGGTAATTAGGAATTTGCACGCGGCAAAATTCACATGACCAGTCATTACTGCACCTCGTGTAGATTCAAAGGAAGGTATTTATAGCCTGATACAACACATTAAACATAGGCAGATACACGGCACACTATGCCACGTGATAGTATATAATATATTTTGAATCTTCAAAATAAGATTAGGATTATACTGATAACAATGATTTTCTTTATAGTTTGTACTGCTGATACCTCAAAACATGTAAATAAATGTATGCATATTCACATGGGCATGCTGCATGTGAGCGTGCAAGCATGGCGTTTGTTGTATGTATTGAAATATATACGCACGGTACTGAAATGACAACAAGAAAAATCCTGTCAAACTGTATAGGTTATTCAGGCCAGAACTGTTAGCGAGCAGCTATTAAAGCTGGGAATGTGCCAAGGTGATGGTTCGAACGGCAATGTGCATAGGTGGTCAACCTACAATTACACACAAAGTGCTTGCGACAAATGGACCACAGTACCTTGTAGATCTCGTCAAGGAGCATAAGCCATCACGTGAACTCCGGTCACCCTCGCAGTGGAGTTTGGTTAGCCACAAAGACAGTCTCTGCATCGCTCACTTTCAGAAGGGGCTTCTGCGGCCGTCTGGAATGCTCTTCCGATATTAGGAAGCCACTGGAGCGATGCACTTTTGAAAATAGATTGAAAACGAATTTATTTAGAACTGCTTTTTATGTTAAGATTTTTTGTCCTTCCCCCGCAGCTCCGATTCGCACGGTTGGTTATGTATGGTGCGAAAGCAGTTGAACATACTCAACCCAGCTAGATCGGGTTCAGATGCAAATTTCCATTGACATGCATGGTTGAGAATTAAACTCAATTTTAAAACATTTCTAAAATTGTACATAAGCAGGAAACATTCTGCTTTCTTAACCAATGTTAACATCGCCCAAAATCCAACAATCGCATTGTACAGTACGTTGATAGACTTACATTTAAAAAAAATGACCATGAGAAAGACATTTCTGTATATTTTTGTATGATTTAATCACCTACAATTAACCAAGAACAAATATAATGACCAATAATTGGGCACAAATATCCTACCT